TTTTTTTTTTTATAACAATTTAGAAACTACTTGCAGCGAATCTGCTATTTTTCTTTTCTGTTAAAAGCTCTCTCAAAGTCTTAATACAGATTGTAGATATCAGAAATGACGAAACAGACTAAATGTCTTGTTCACAGGATTCCTGAAGAGTGACTCCATGTTTATTTAACTTCTAAACTCTCTAACTTTGTCAACTTTGTATGACACTTTGCACCAGAAATACGTAGACGTAGACGGAACTATGGGGTTTTGCTAGTTCATGCTCTACGGAGAAGCCAGATGACTACAGGGTGAATCACTGTTTTAAGATTCTGTGAGCCAAACTAGTACAACCGAGGTTCACAGGTGTCTCGTTCGCTGTCAATTCGTCACTACTGACTTGTCCAATCTATGTCAGGCCTAGATTAAGTCTACATCGAGCTACGATCCTCTTTCTTTAAAAAACAACACAAGCAAAATTGATGTTGGCCATTGCTAAAAAGTTAGATCTAGCTTCTTAAAGTTAGAATAACTTCAGGATCCTATGGGAGAAGTTGAATCCTCATTTCGAGAGAGGACTGAAGTCAATTCCCACTTGCTAAATCATACGTTGTTCCTTTATTATTACTTTAATCTTTTCAAAATCCTCGGGTACCGACAGACAACTGAACCCAAGTTTCAAATCCAATTCGCAGACGGTATTCGAGCAACTGGTGGACATAATATGCGACAAGATGAGCGAGTCCCTGGACAACGATCCAACCTTGATCGCGGGTGGCATGGGCCAGGCGAAGGGTCAACGACTCACCGATCAGCCGACCAATCCAACGAACGACAACTGTAATTGCTAAGAACATGGATGGCCCGTTGCTTTGCGATTGCTCTGCAAAGCATGATAAGGAAAAAAAAAAGGAAGAAGAAAAAGAGAAAGGATAACGATGAAGAACATGAAGACGACGACGAGGAAGAGAAAGGGTGAAGAAATATTAGAAGAAAAAACGCGTGTATGCCTGTACATGTATGCGTGAACGTTTGTGCACGTGGTCCTGTGTGCATGTAGTGAGTGTGGTTAGCCGTGAGTGTGAGGGGAGAAGATCAAGCGAGAGAGAGAGAGAGATAGAGAGAGAAAAAGAGAGGAGGAGGAAGGTCGAGTGATAAAACGTTGACTCTAGTTCACTTTGTTCGCCGTTCCTTTGACCTTTGTTCCCCGGCCGTTCTTCGTTCTGCTCTTTTTCTTTCCTCCTTTCTCGATCGATATATTTATATATGTGCACATAAATAATGTATATGCGCAGGACGGACCGCGCTACTCCATTTAACGAACAACAAAAAAAAAAAAGCAAAAAAAAAAAAGAAAAAAAATTGCTTCTCCGTGTTGTTTAAGACGATCTTTGAGAATTCGAGCGAGAAACACTGACGAGTCTCGAGTTGGGCAAGCATCGACTCGACATCCTTAACCTCGATCCATTTGTCACTGACAATCTCGCTTGGGGATTCAATTTTTGGTGGTGTACTTTGTTCCGATTCTTCACCTCTATTGCCAGTTTGCCCAATTTCAAATTTTCTAATTGGAACTAATCTCAGCTATCTCTTAACTATCCAGTCCAATTTGGGGAATCAAACAGTGGAGAGAATCAAATTTCTTGGATGTCGTTGTACTTAAATTCTCAACATATCTCTTCTCATTTGAGCCCTCGTTTGAGAATTGACAACTTTCTCGATTGAACCCCGTGAAATCTGACAGATTTCAATAGCGTTTTGTACACTTTAGATACATTTAAATACACTCTCTGATATTTTAAACTACCTAATTTACAGATTTCGCAATTTGATTGCAATAGCGTCACGGAACACAAATTGGACAAAGACTCGATCCCTGCTGACAATGAATGTAAGAGTAGTCACTTGCTACTATCAGAGGTGCTCCTATCCTCCCGTCAAACATTAGCAACCATTCCCTCACAGCCAAAGAAAAAAGCTCCGCCACTCTGTCTCGTCTCTTTTCTTTTGATATTCAATCAGAAGCTTGAAGATCGATTCACCAACGACTGCAAGAGCAATTAGTCACGCGATTCGCCCTGTATACATATATAAATATGTATGACGGTTGTAGCCTGATTACGCGGAGGTGTCACCGAGCTAATCCGAGTCCGATTGCGAGCTGACGTTGCGATATTTTTGCTTGGGTTCGACGGTGAAACTGTGCGAACAGTCAGGTATCGTTGAACAACGAGCAGAGTCACGATGTAACAAATACTGACCGCTGTGACGAGGACGTTTGTAATTCGTATCTCCACGACACTTTTTCACGTGACAAATTCGAATCTGGTGCCACTTCCAATGGCCCAAGATGGGAACGCTGTTAATTTCTCATTGGCACGCAAATACAGAAAATATCCGCATTGGTTTCTCAAACTTTTCGAACCGGTCAGGAAATTCGGCTCGATTCATCGACGTGAGTAGGATAATAACGAAAAGGTTGAAAGTGAAATCGAAAAGAAAAGAGAATTCATCTCAAGAGCTCGGTTTCACTGCGAGCGAAACATTCCAACGGCGAGTGATTCGAACGAACAAGTTCATGCTCCTTCGAATCGTGTCTCAACAACGGACTGATCTCGGCCGCCATTTTTGTCAATCTCTTCTTTCCCTGGATCAGTTCGTTCCTTCAAAGATCATTGTCATTCGCCAACTCGAAGGAGCACGAGTCGTTAGACAAACAGATGGTCGTTGACGATTTCAAGCGCACTCGAATCAATAACGAAGGATTTTCAATCGAGAAACGTCTTAAGCCCCTTTTACACTTGGAAAATGTAACACATTTAAAATTAAGATCACGATGTATTTGCGAAGTGTGTGTCGGATTGATGTATTTGCGACACGATGAGTGTGATTTTACTGGCTTTCGGATAAAGTTACTTTTTCAAGTATGAATTGGGCTTAACGCATTCGCTGCTATTGACGCACACGGCACGTCACTTCAATTATCGTATATATATTTTAACGATGGTCTTCATGTAATTATTGTGTTTTTCAGTTTGACAAAAATTTCAGATAAGTAAAGCAGCAAACAGAGAGCGTTCAAGTAAAAATTATTATTAAAAACAAAGTTTCTTTTTCATGAAAAACAAAAGAAAGAATATGCAGCAATAAATGAAGCTTCTAGAGAAACACAACCAAATTTAAATACTTTCACGCTTAACGTTGCATATTGAAATATTATTAATTAAACACAGAGTATCCAGAAAGATACTGATTTTAATTCTGTCGAATTTTTAAGCTGAATTTTCAATCTCGTTTAATTAACTCAATTGCAATCTCTTTTTTCTCTTAAATTTAATTTTCCATCCGAAATCATTTTTTGTTAATCGATCGCGTATGTTTCTTTATTAAATTCAATTTTCAAGCTGGAATTTTTTTTCCAATTTTCTTTTTTTATTAAATTCCTCGCTTATTAAACTGAATATCTGGAAATTCCATTTGGAAGCTTTTAATCCGTTTCAAATGAAATATCTGATCGTGAAAGGATTAACAAATAGCAGTGAATGCGTCTACACTCGGCCACGCGTACGTCGCGCGAAATCGTCGATCGAAAGAAAGTTGCAACTCTGGTAACGAGAAAACTGCAAAAAACCAAAAAAAAGAAAAAAAAGAAAACAGAAGTTGAAATATATCTGTATGTGTTGTATTGTGAATGGCGTTTCCTTTCTTCTTACGGAGGAACTCGATTTTTTTCTGGAGGATGTTCTACCTCGACCCAACTATCTCGACGACGTCGATCTGATGCACAACTTTCGAATCTTTTGATCCTCGAAGGCTCGTTCAAAGCTCGGGCACCTGAGACGATGTTAATAGAATTGTTGCGACGGCTGAAGTACGGTGACGTGGACGCTCGACACACGAGCCGTGAATATTTTTCTCTCTCTCAT